ATGGCAAACTATGAAGAAAAGGATATTGAGGAAGAAATTCATATTGCGAGTAGCGAATAGCAGAGCAAGTAAGTTACTGGTCATCATTTCTGGTTAAACTAGCTCCATTGGCTTTTAATGCGACGAGAGATTTTTGTTAGGGAGTCAACTGGAGAGGTGATATTGGTTGATTGGGATGGGGTTCAAAGTATCATGTTGAAAGATTTCGGCCTCTGGCCAGGAGTAGACCTATAATAAATTGTCTCCATGATCGAAGTATTGATACAGGGAGAGGAAAGCAGACAGTAAAAAACATGGGAGATTTTTATCGGTACCATATCAAAGGTGAAGGCAATGGTAGTAAAGGTTCTCGGTATATTCGGGGTGCTGCAGCGAGATATTTTCATGCAATTTTCGTCAAGGAGAGAAAGCATTTCTAGTCATTTGATATAAGCGTGATGCAAGGTAATATTGAAAAATTGACGCTTTCTTAGCGTATGGTGAATTTATAAAAAATAATTTTACCAGCGTTTGATAAGTAAGATCGCTAATTTGGAGGCCAATTTTCGATGCCTTCATGGGACTCATTCGTTATAATTCTTTATAATTCATCAATGAAAAGGACAATATCGTCAAGCCGATTTGTTCTTTATGATATGCTCTATACTTCCATGCATTTGAACCTCTCTTGAATGTGGAAGCGCTGTCTATTGTCCAGTTTATGTATAGACTAGAACTGTAGAAAAGAATCACCATACTGGTTAGGTTGGCTCCATTGACTGCCAGACTAAGGCGTTTCCAAGCGGTGCGGTGTGATTCCAATCCATAATTCATAATTGAAAAACTGTGTCAATATTTTCCATATGTACCCTTTCATACTGTGGATCTTTAAATTATAGGACAAATTATAATGCGGCCGACTTGCGTGAATGGTCATTTAAAAAAAACGCTATAAGTTGAAATAAATTGGGCTAAAAATTGAACCTGAAAGTGCCATTGATGGACTCGCAACCCTTCGATTCAATTGTTCATTTTTTCAATTTTTAATTAAATTATTACAAATTTACTATTTGTCTTTAGTGAAAATTGCTCATTCTATTTTGAATTATTCCACCTTTTAAGCAAATGCAGCTGTGAACTTTGCAATATTTTTCTTCCACGACAAATTTTTAAGATAACTGTTTCGTAAAACTTATTCGCTTCACTGATTCACTCTTTAATTTTGGTAGAAAAGGCAGCTATCTTTATTTAGGTTCTTATTTAGTGATTGACGACATGATGAGAAATTTATTAGGTAAAAACGGATAGATTGGCAAGTTCTCTCCAGTCCCACTAGTTTTGGTATTCATCACTCTATGCCAATCAACCAGATTATTTTCTGTCCATGTTATCATTCACCGTATTGGGAATTTGATAAGGAAGTTTGGATTTCCAAGTGGGATAATGCATGTTTTATGAAAAGTTATGATCTGATTAAACAAGTGTTACAAATATTGTACTTCAGATTTTATTGTAACGAATGAAATAAAAAGCTGATGCAAAAAAAAAACTATATAAATATAGATAAAACCTAAAAACTCTCTCCCGCCATTATTGGTTAGGTTGGCTCCGCTGGTTACAAGGGTAAGGCGTCTCCAAGCTGTTTGGTCTGACGCCATCGCTAGTAGTAATAGAAACCATTCCTTTTTCCATTGTCTAAGTCCGCTGTCCTTCTATGTTTTGACTGTATCACTCCAGGTATTGATGGGTCCTCCTTGCTTTTGGTGCCAACCATCATGGAGTTCGGCAATTAGCGAAATTTGCGTCAATTCCTGATGAATGATGAAGAACGTGCCCTAATCAGCGAAGGACGCTCTCTGATGACATTATTATACAGGTATTATTTGAGCGAAGGTGGATACAATCATGCGCGATTTTATTAGCTCGACAAATCCGTAAAGTGTATCTGAGATATGAGTGGTCAAAGGCTGATAGCTTTTTAACATCTTCCACTCTCATTGGTCATGTTTCATACCCATGTAGCACGATCGGACAGAATGGCTTAGTGGTTTGTTGCTAAATTGGGAGCACCAATGCTGAGGTTCGATTTCCCGCAGGAGTAAACCTGTCCAAAAATGCTGGCGACTCCACTTTATTTCTATTGATAAGAGACTTCCTGGTATATTGCCCAATGCGTCAATCTAGTGAAGCGAGTTTAACCAGTAATGATGGGGACTTTTAAGCAAAAAAATGTAGCAAGTCGAGCGAATTGCAACCATATACAAATAAAAACTACAGATTATCAATTAGTTCCTAAAAGATTTCGAAAAATTAGTGATAAACCACTCGTCAAAGAAGAATGCGATGAAATAGTGTTTCTCTTCAGCTATTTCATTGGCTTCATATTCCTATTGTTTCTGCTTATCAGCGACTCCTTTATCAGACTTACTCGACTGAATTCAATAAAGAGATAATAAATTGTGTAATCGAAGCCCAGAATGAACCCTGAAATCATAATGAATCGTAATTAATATAGCGATTTATATCGCAAAAGGATTACAAAATATCTCTGCGCCTCTGGGTCGGTTGGGAACCGAATCCAGACCATTCGCGTGACAGAACTTTACCACTAAACCATGGATGCCCCTATGAAAATGAATGCTCAAATCTTTTATCAAATTTAATAATTCTATCATTATCATCACTATCATTATACTATATTTTAAAAAAAAAATGTAAAACGATGATACAAAAATGATGCTCTCAGTTACTTTTAATAGGTGGGGGGAGGGGAGAGGGGAGGGTGGGGACAGGGAAGTCTATACGACTTAAAATACGTTTGGACCGTCGGTGCAAATAAATTTTTTTGTTTATTTGATTTTTATAAACAAATATCGAAAAGAGTAATGTGCCTCTTCTATTCCTAATTCCATTTCGAAGGTACATTTTAGTTAATAGCGACTGAAGTAGTCAATAGTATTTGCTGTAATAAATTTTTGTAATGGTTCTTATACCAGAAAGAAAATCTGTGAGGCAGTTACAATCTTTATTCGGTTAAAAGAACAAAGACCATTTCCTATTGATACTCTGTGAATATTTCTGAGGGCGCAGTGGCATTCAAAATGACTTCCCATAGCCGATCCGGGTAAGAACTTTATATACCCGAAAAGAGTGAGCCAAGATAATCCGCAAACCATCGAGGCAAGCGTGTTCTAATTAGGCTAAAAACTTTAAGCAATTAATTTGTGGACCTTGTTTTCAGAACTATGAAGGCTTATTATTATATTTTTAAACTAACATTATTATATTTTCTACTTAAATGTACACAATACAAATTAGTTTAAAAAATGGAAATGATATAGCATAATTATGTAATAGGTAATAGGAGGCATTTATATTTGGAGCTCTCCTGGAATTTTGTCTGCTATTTTGGCCATTCAGCCAGTAAGAAAAACTGGCACTTTCTAGACCAGGCATATCAGCTAAATTTGATGTATCAGCTTCATTGTCTTATTATTAATAAAATTATGATAGATAAGAAAGTGCCACCCAAAGAAAGAAAGATTAATTAATTTACTTCTTTTCGTTTCATGGAATATCTATTCGTATATTCGAGTCGTTCCGTGCTGTGGATTGACATGCTCGTCTCTTTGATGTTGGCAAGGGTACATCAGTGGTCCAGTGGTGCGATAATTGAGAATCAAGACTTGAATCCGAATCAGTCTATGCATTATCGGATGAGACTTGCCTAATGGAGAAAGGGAAAGGATAATAGAGTCCGTGGATTGTAGCTCAATTCGGAGCGCCGTTGATGGAATTCTTTTACTCTAGGCAGAAGTGAATGTGTCTGAAAATCCAGGTGATGTTGGCGACGCCTGTATTTCGCCAAGAAACTCTATGGCATTTTGTCTAATATGATAAAATGAAGGAGCGAGTCTAATCAGTAATGAATGCTTTAGATCAGTGATCGGTGGCAAGAAGCTCTCATCCCACTCTTGTCTCATAGCTTAAAATCGTAGCAGAGAGAACATTTCTCCTTGATTTATTTTCCACATTTATTCTTTTATTAAGAAAATCCTTACCTATTTTAAATTCCTCGTCATAGGAATTGCGAAGTGAATTCCTCACCTCTATCCGTTTTGCTAATAGCTGATTGGAGTGTCTTGTAGGGGAATAAAAAATAACGGTTTACACGGTATTCCTTAACTTTCATTTATTCAATGAAAATTACTGACCCCACGTTGAATTAATTGGTTAATTTTTCAATTTTTGCCTTAATTTAGCGTTTTGCAAAATTACAAAATCCATAGTCATAAAATATTTCCGGCCACAACTTTTCGTAAAATAAAAACGTTCAATCCTCTTCGATTTACTTCACTTGATTCACTGGTATCATTAATACGATGAAAAATGGGGAATTTTTCGCTAACGAATCAGTTTGGAATGTAAGTGAAAATTGGGGACCAATTCCACTGTTTTCGTTACTCATCACACCATGTTTATCACTCAATTTCTTTGCCCTTTGTTCTTATTTCAATTACATTTTTTTTAAAAAAATTTCACCATAACTGGTTAAACTCGCTCCGCTGGCTTGTCACATGAGATAAATATCCCTTGGCGATAGAAATACAGGTGAGTCGACAGCATCATCTGGATTTCTCTACAGGTTTACTCCTGCGGGGAATCGAACCTCACCATCGACGCTCCCAATCGAGCAACAACCACTAAGCCATCCTATCTCCTAATTACCGCATTAGAATTTGATAATTATCGAATTATCGAATTATAAATAAATTTGATTTGCAAGTGGAATTTCCGTGATAAAAGTTGGATTTTGATTTTAATAAGTGTTTGCTTCTTATAAATATTACAAATGATAAGTGCCTTTTTTCAGAATTTATTATAAATTAATTTATTTAAAAAAGACAAAAAAAGCCATTGGATTGTGGAACAAAAAAAAAAGTATAGATTAATTTAAAGAATTGTTGGATTAATTTTAGCGGAATTTCGAAAAATTCGTGATTCGTGATCAGAACCATTCGTCATAGGCGGATATCATCAAATGGTGGCTTCTTTTCGGGAATTTCGCTAACTTCGTCTTCTTCTTGCTCTATTTGTTTCTCAGCATCAGTGATTCCTTCGTCAGGCATATGATCGGGTAGTGGCTTTCCTTTGGTTTCCGGTATAAGAGCCAAATATGCAATAACTTCGACTAAACTCATTAAAGCCATAACAAAATATGGCAGTGGTGCCCAAAATGAACCCTGAAATTGCAGTGAATTCGTTAAAATTTCGCCGATTTTAATACAGAAATCGATCAAAAGATGTCCGATTCCACCTCTGTACATGATGCAACGGCTAGGAATAGAAGCCGGATCGCTTCCAGTAAACCAACTACGCTTGCCAGTGGTTCAAACTATTTGTCATTATTGCGCTAAATTTTTTATTTTTTATTTCCATTTTTTTACATTGCCTAAAAATCGAATCCTACCTGCCACTTCTTATTTTATTTGTTAGGTGAGCGGAAGCGAGGAGATTTCCCTGCCCTATTCTCACTGTCGGATTCGGCGCCACAGTTGCGCTTATACGGCCAAAATAGCCACATTTTCTCCTTTAATGAATTTTTATAATCGGCGTACCAGCAAGAAAATCTGTGGAGCAATTACATTTCCTATTCGATTAAATGTCTGAACAAAGCCCATTCCAACGTTTCGTATTGCTGTTGGGAATAATTCTGAGGGTGCAATGGCATTCAAAATGTAAATCTGACTTCCCATAGCCGATACAGATAATGCTGCCATTCGAATCACACTTTGCATTCGCAGATCTAAACTGAAAATATTAAATTTCCAAGAAGCATCAAGGCGAAAATATTTTATATTTTACAAGGTATTTTATATTTTTTTTCTGTTAGCATGGAAAAAATAATTTATTGCGCAGTTAATTTATAAATTAAATAATGGGGCAACTTATCTATAAATATTTACCACAAATTTTTTAAAAGTACTATCTACCGAATGCCATGATGATGAATACCAATCCGAGTCCGAAAGCCATGAATGACATAGCGCAACCGTGTAGCAGACGACGACCAACACGTGCAAATTTAATATCTATTAAAGCAACGACCAGATTGATGGTATAACGCAATGATCCGATGATGATTGTGTTTAAAAATGGCGAGCCAGATAATTTCTCGAAATTAAACATCAGTCCATATGTAATAATACTTGTTGTGACTCTAAGTGAAAATATTTTGAGAAGCGTTAAGATTTTGGAAAGAATATTAGTACAACAATAACTCTCAGTCTCCAGTAGCTGCTGATCCACCTATACGTTTATCCTGAAGTAGCGCTTTGGCAGAGGGGTGTTCACCTAATAAAGCGGAGTCAGCCACAGAAATGGACTTGTCATTTAAAATTTCCAAAAGAGAGAACCGTGTTAAATTTTAGAATAACCATTTTAGATAAAAAAACACTAAGAAAACACTGGGAAGAAAGAAAACACTGACAAGCTGAACGAAAATAGAATCGTATAGATCGCGTAATCTCGATACATGAATAAATGATAAGTATAATACTTCTTCTTCGGTCTGCCTGCAGCCTAGAAATATTCGAAATAACTGGCCGATTTTTCAAGCAGCTTGCAGTTGTGAAAAAACTCTCACGGAAAACACTAAAGACCGTCCATTAAAAAGTAGAACCTGTCGAATTCGTTCACGTTCCTGATTAAGTACATCGTCAATTGCTTTGCGATGTTCAGCAGTATTCTTGCCATTCCACTTTGCTATTGTCACCAGCGCTTCACGAGCTTCATCAATCTTTTCCTTTTGAACCAACCAACGTGGTGTTTCTTGGATAAATCTGTGATTTGAAAGATATCATCTACAAAAATTATCTGAATTTCTCTTTTTTTGAAAATCTTTGAATTTTGAAAACTAACAGAAGAAAAATTAATGGAAGAAACGTGAGGCCAGCAATAACGCGTGATAACAATCTCCATGATCCTGTGAAATATGCAAGTGCAGTAAATACGACATAGTTTGGTGAATAAGTAATTACTGTGACAAGCCACATACGATGTTTCGTCGGCAGTGACTCCATCATGTAAACATATGAAACGCTAAAAATATGTAGAGGAATTTATGGTAATGCATGAGAAAATAGAGGAATCTAAGAAATCAAAATCAAAAGGTTGTTCTCATTACTGATGGATTTCTGTCCCTGGCAAGGATTTAACCCATCTATGAAAAATGCTACCAACTCACCTATAATTTCCTCTCTAACAAAATTTGTATGGTTCAGTAAGTCAGCAAAATCAATGAGCCTGTGACAAATCTAAGGGAATGAATTTAATTTATTTAAATTCAATCAAATTTATTATTTATTTATTGAAGAAAACCTGTGTTTTCCACCGGTGAACAGCATCACGAAAAAGCGTAAAATCGTGAAAATAATGATATTTGGCGCGAATGTCGATAGAAATCCACTAATAATTAAACCAACTGATCCAAATATTAGCGTCTAAATGTTGTCAAAATCATTAAAATGAACTTTTAAATTTTTATGAGATCATCGAATTTTGATTCCATTACCTGAAATCTGTTAGATTTGATTTAATTTATTCAATGAACAGAAATTTGGGCTGCTTTTTTATTATGAAAATATCACCTTTCGTCGGCCAATGCTATCGGATAGCTGTCCAAACGTCATTGCTCCGAACATTATGCCCAACATTTGCACTGATGTACTCATTTTCACTTTTCCTGCATTTCCACAAAAGAAGTGAAACTGAAATTAGATTTCTTTAAAAAATAATATAAATTTTCAACAATAATAAAGCTTTATAAAATTAATGAGGAAAATGGTCGGTGTTGTACCTCATAATTTACTGACTGGAAATCCCCTTCGAGTTTCGGTGTGCATCCAGTCGATTTTATTTTTTCATACGCATCACAGGCCTCGCTTGATGTCATATTAGCAAAGCTGTATTCTCCACAACTAACGACATTCGCCACTGATCCTGCAATTATATCGAGCATTACCTTTTTCTTGCAAAATAATAAAAATTTTCAGCAATTATTGATGGAAAGCCTAACCTCCGAAGACCATATAAATCAGATTGCTAACTTGAGATATAATTAAAAATTCGTATAAAAGGCAAACGAAGAGTGTATACCATCCGAGTTGATTGAAATCACCAACTGTTTTCTTTGATTCTTTCGCAGATTTAGCCATTTTAACCAAGTTTTCTGAAAGAATAGAGATTTGTAATGGCGTAAATTAATTTTCTGTTGATAAATTAATCAATTAGTATTATATAATGGCTTGTTTTAAATTTAAAATAGTAAAAATTGAAACATTTTTTCACAATGATTTCAGTCAAGGCTATTTTTTTGGCCAAAAATTTCAGTTGGAATCCTCTAAATTGCTGATAACCCATGAAATGCTTGTAGGACATACATTTGTTATTGTACAAAAACTTATAAAATAATAAAGCTAACATTAATCAACATGGCAAAAACCCATATGTGATAAAACCATCTGAGCAATATTAACGTATATGGCGGAGAATAAGATTTATAATAAATACATATATAAAAATATATAAAAATTATTGAATCGATTTGAAAACGAGAAAATCTTCACTTATAGAACTATGATAAAAAATAGTGATAATTAATGATGCATGCGCATAAAATCAATTAAAGAAATTGGGAAGCAGATATAAAAGCACCTTATTTTCCATAGTTCACAATGTCCTCTGTTGTCAAACTAATGTTAGCCAGTCTTGCCAGCCTTTTTTCAGTCAAGGCTATTTTTTTGGCCAATACTATTAGCTTTACTTTGGTTAGAACAGAATCGAAAGCTATTGGCATGGAACTACTATTTTTCAATAAAAATTAAAATATTTGATTGTTTATTCTTTGCAATTCGCGGATAAAAAATAGATGATAATCCCAGCGCTTTTTTCTAAATCGTAAATCGAAACCATTATTTTACAGTAAAATTCTAAGATTCCGGAATTCTATGATTCCGGAATTAATGAAAAACAAAACAGCATTCGCTAAAAGATTTGTTTATGAATATTCATAAACGTCCTACAAAATGTTCATTTATAAAATCAAAAATTCAATGAAAACTGAAAAAGAAATTCAATGATTATTCGAAAACTGAGTGAAAATATCCAATCGCAATTTCACTGAAATAGATAAAAACTTTATTCTAAACTTTTTTCGAAATTTTAGTATTTTTGAACGACAATCCCTAAAAATAAAAGAAAAATAACGCTTGAAAGTTACTATAAATTCTTCATTAAATGGCTTGAAAATCATTTATATTTTACTAAAATTTTCATTTTATTTTCTTCTATATTTTTCATGCTAAAATATAAACTTCAGTCTTAAAATTCTATAGATTACTTCTAATAACCAAGAAATAGACCACTCAGATATAGCGGTCGTCGCCCTGACCGCGCAAAATTTCGCGAGGGCCATTATCTTGTCAAGGTTATATGGCATTCCTCGTAAGAATTAGTGAATTTAATTAATAAATTATACAATTTATTTGCAATATAGAATTGTAAAGAAAATTGTTCCAAAATGATACGGAAATTTATTATCAATATTTAAAAAATTGCATATCAAGAAAACTTAAATTTGCATTCCATGATAAATTTTATAATTTATCTATCTAATTCTCCACAAATTTGTAACAAAATATTCAGAGAAAATTTCAGAGAAATATTAAAATTGCTTATAAAAGATAAGCGCTTTAGAACGATGGAATCAGATGCGGTTTCTCTATATACTTCAGAAAAAACAACACCTCACTGAAATCTAAAAAAATTCATCATCGTAGCCGATACAGGAAGTTTAATGAGTAATGGCTGTGAAGTCATCAATTTTTATCAACTAAATTCCACGTAATTAGATGATCGAATGTTGTTTATGGCCTTAATTCTTATTAAGATGGATTTTACCATCCACTATCTGATAAAATGATAAGTATCCAACTTAAAAGACTTTTAGTGATTATCGCCGTCACCGATAAGCTAAAACAGGAAGAAAAACTGAATGAATGAATGAATTTAAAATTTCGCTATATATATATTTTTATAAAATAAATGAAAATGAAACTAATTGTGGAAAAAAAAATTTCAGACTAAATATGTAAAAATTATAATTATTTCTTAACAATGAAATTTTTGTTCTTTAAAAAAAACCAAAAAATTTCTAACGAATGACTTTTTAAAAATGAATATTATGAATGAATATTAAAAACGAAAATGAATATTTCGTTGAAGCAAAAAGAGTTCGGCAAAAAAGAAGCATTCGACAGAATTCGATGCACCTTCAATTTCTCATAACAAAAGAATAAGAAAAATAAGTAAGAAGAAATTTAAAAGAAATTATGTAAAATTTTAAATTAATATTGTTTGAAACAAAGCTAAACCTTTACCTTTACCTTTCATCGTTCAACTTTTTAACCTTTTAAAAACTCTATTATACTGTAAAATGTAAATTAGATATTCCGGCTTTTATTCCGTGGATTTAATGACTAATGGCATTTTCTAAAAATCGAAGCAAACCACAACTCGCCCATTCTTCTCCCAAGTCTTTACCTACCACTGTTCACTGTTAACGCATTCACTAACCATTTGAGAGAATACCATAATTTCATAAATATCATAAATATTCATAAATATTCTAAATATCATATATTATAAATATCATAAATATTCGAAATTGCTCAAATTTTCTAAAAATTAAATAAGTGGTAAATGATCACAAGCGGAACAAATCTGTCCAAAAATCCGGTGGCTGGCGACTCCACTATATTTCTCTCGCTATGGGGCTCCCTGGCATATATGTCTAGTGCGACAAGCCAGCGGAGCGAATCTAACTAGCAATGGTGAATGGTGAATGTGAGTATAAAAAAAATCAGAGTAAGCAATAAATTACCTTTTAGTTTATAATCGGGGAATTTGATTAATTTATTAGTGTAACATAAATAAGAATGAACAGAACAGCGAAGTTGAAGCTCTACATGAAAATAGAAATCATAATGGAAATCTTTCGACAACTGAGATAAAAATGAATGCTCTGAAGGATGCTCATCTTATCACTTATCATTTTGCCCTCCTACCATAACGCACGACTTTTCTTTTAAATTTGACGATTATTTTCTATATATAAAATGTATAAATTAATCAAATAAAATAAAATTACAATGACCAAAAAGCAAAGTTATTAAATTATTTGGAAATAAATTTTATTTTTAAATCGGCTGAAAAATATCAATATTAACGGCACTTACTTCAGTTCGCTTCTCCACTGCTGAATTTTGAAATTTATGAATATAAATTCAGAATAAAACTCCGTAAAGGCTCTGAAATAAGCGAAAAGTTAAAAGACATGAGATTTAATAATTTACGTGAGCACACACGTGATTTCATTAAAATGTCAAATCTTTTGATTTTTAATGAAACAAACAAAACATATTCCACGACAAAAAAATGATTAAATCTCTAAAATGATTAAATCTAAAAAACCAAAAATCACTACGAACACTTTTTAAAACAATGGCTCGGCATCAAATGACCAAGAATAATAACATATCACATTTTTTAATAGATAAAAATCTTAGATAAATCTTAGACAATAAGTAAACCAGACAATATGATCATTCGGTATTCTTAGTAGGGAACTCCTTGTGTGGAAAATGAGTGAAGTGAGTTCGATTCTTCCACAAATATCATTAAAAGTGAAGGTTGTGTGAGTGCACTCCGCTGCTCCTTTGAGGATCTCGCCAAAATACTTCACCCTCGTGGACTTTGGATCAGCCAAATCAAAAAATGCGTGTTTTTAGAGAAAGGGGAAATTCAACAAACCAAAATTCAAAATATAGCCGAATTCGAAGCTTTAGATACGTTTTTAATCAGAAATAACACTACATAGGTTCCAAATATTCCCATATAATTGCCATGGCTAATGAATATATAAAAAAATTTGGACATTTAATAGATCAAAAAGCAATTTTAGTGCGTGGATAGAAACCCAAATCCTCCATCATCACACAAAATATTACAATAACAATACAACTTTTAAACGAGTTTTACTGTTATCCATTTATTTCTATTTATTCAAATAAATCGTATTATTTAATAATAATAAAATATAAGTTAGGATTAACGCGAAATTATTTAATTTTATAGCCAGGTTTATCGTTTCCCTATTTATTATTATTATTATTTATTATTGGTTATTGTTCTACTTACATTATTAACATTAATATTTTGCTATCACTATTATTATTATTTCGCCATTATCACTAACGACAAAAGCTGTACATATAGAAGAGGGTTTTGTTGTTGTTATCATGCCGTACAAACCCAATATTACCGATATATTATTGAATATTTGGGAATTAATTTTGAACAAAAGTTTAATATTCCTTCCCATTTTCACAACTCTAATTCCTATTCATTCTAACAATTTATTATAATTCAATTTTCCATAAGTAAACAAAGATGAAAACGATTTGCATCCCATGGAATAGGAATGAAAATTTGGTATACAACTAACTGCATGATCAGAGGAAAATAGCGAAAAGCTTGAAAGGCATAAAGATTCGTAGTCAACTAAAAATATAAGAAAGGGTCATCGAACCAATTTAGCCGAGAATAGACGAAATCTTTGACGCGATAAGTTTGATATTAAGTAATCTATTAAATAACAAATAAAAAATGGTTCCCTCCGAAAAAAATTTTATCGTTACACATTCTAAAAATCTTAAAAATTCAAACCAAATTACTTATGAACGACAAAAAAAGTAAATTCACAGTGTGGAACTAAGTGTGAATTGGCTGGTTCCCTGTCATTTTTAAAATGTATTACAATGTATTACTAAAAACGACAAAACAACTAATTATAGAAAAGATCATAGGTGAACAGGGAAAGATCGAGTCGTACTCAGCTCGACAGAACCTATATCATAATTTTCATTTTAGGTTTACACATCGTTCTGCAAAAGTCGTTCAGATAGCCTAGAAATCCGATATTGGCTGGTGGTTGATTCTAATAACTGATCTGGCTTGCATCTTTGAGATTCCATTTAGCTGCACTAAATTTTGGAAATTGCATTTAAAAATCTCTACCATGTTATCACTACCTCATATTCCAAGAACTGAAAAATTGGACTGCTGATTATTGTCTGTGGTTAAATTGAATCGAAGTGCATATCTGCATCTCAATATCAGTAGCTCAATTTTCTAAAACTCATGTTAATTGTATTTGCCGCTTTCATTTATTCAATTTCAGATTTTTATTCATAGTTTCCAGTTCTTGTTATCCATTTTTGTTTCAGATCGCTAAATAAATTGCCACTTGATTCGATTGCGAATAATCGAAAAATTTCAGTGGCTTAGCCTAAAGTGCTTGTTAGGTGGACTTGTGTACTTCGCCTAGGTATAGAAATAGGAGCGCTTTATCAGCAGTCGCCAGTCCTTTTTTAAGGTAGTAATAGCATGTTTGGTTGCATTAAGCAAGATTTGTACCAATGTTACTCAATAGAAACTCAAGCAAGATTTGTACCAATGTTACTCAATCAACGATCACATTATTCATATAGAATATTTTACTTAAGCCATAATTTACTAGTATTTTGTTAGGCTGTTAATTATAGATAATAAGTTAATGCTTATCATTTCTGGTTATCTGATCAAACGTGTATTGGCTTGATGATTTATCTCGAACAAAGGCTAGCGAGCAAAATTTTTTATCATTAACCTAGCATATCCACATCAAAATATTCAGCGAAGTTTCCTCGTAAATATATATCGAGAATTACCGTTCGGTCCAATCATTTTTCCTAAATTTCAGATTTGTTGATGAATATGTTCTTTATCAGCTTTAACAGCTGATAGCTTAAGAATGCAAAATTTAAAAAATCTTAAAACAATTTAAGAAGATTGTACAACAAAAATGGAACTAAAAAACTTTTAGGAATTATTTGCCTACATGTTTCTGCCACTTAATATTTAATACATTATTTTAAATTCCACGGAACTAAAATTGAATGAAGGGAAATTTTCAAATTCATTCAGTAAACATTTTTATTTTTATTGAAAAAGTATAAATTATTATTAATCATTATTAAATTATTATTAAATCATTTTTGGGTTGAAAAATTTCTTACATGATATCGATTGTGTGATAATATTCACTTATCACATAGAAATCACACTAGGGTGTCAACGAACCTCACCAATGGTGAGAATACTTTATCACCAAAGATCCAATAAATGTTTTGTTTTATAGTGCGGAATTCAATTGTTCAGCAAAAAATCGTTTTATTTTTGTAAAAGAAACTGATTCATTAATTTTTTGCAAAAAAATTGAAAATCTGCAGTTAAATAAATTTCTAATTTGTTTTTTAAAATAAAAATAATTAGCATCGTTGCTTTCTTATAGTTGATTCAGGAAAATGCAGAAATAATTTTTTGCTTAAAAAATGATAATGTTTTATCAGATCAGATTCACAATAATCCTTGCCACAGTCAATTGTACCTTGCTTTTGTTAAAGGCAAGGAGCATATGAGTACCACTTCTTCCATGTGGTGAAGCAAATTGCCTTTTGCCTCGACACTTCCTAATGAAATACCTTTGTTCCCAAGTATCTCTGGCAAAATATTCCTACACCAGTGTTGAATGGAAGCTGCAAAATGAGAAATGTTATAGGAATTTATATTTATTCAAAAAATTAAAATTTATTTCATTTATTTCCATTGATAAATAGAATGACAATGAATCAGCAAAAAAACAAATTAAAATAAATCAGTAAAAATTGAAGACGTAATAAAAAAAATCAGTGATTAATGAGGAATAAAAAATAAGTAAAAAATAAAAATGAGATATTTTCCATAAAATGAAAATCGTTGCCAAAATATTGGCAGAATTAATAATTTACATTATAGCAACTATTTTTTTGCAGTAATTATAATTTTTTAAAATATAACGAATATTAACAACACCTCTCGTACCTATCATTATTATCATTTGAAACAAAAAGCTAAACGAAAGTCCAATGATCCAATATGACAACGCATTTCAACGAAATAATGTTTTTGGAATCGAATGAGCTAGCATTTAAAAGCAAAGAAAATTGCTAAATACTTCATAATACTCTATTTATCTGTTTTTAATGGCATTTTTTCCTCATTTTCTACTTTATCAAGTCGTATATTTTCGAGTGCCTTCCCTTCTCCGTCGTCATCATCATCTGGCATACGATCCGGAAGTGGCTTTCCTTTTGTTTCTGGAATCAACGCAAGGAATAATACGACTTCTATCCAACCCATCAAACCCATAACTAAGTATGGTAATGGATTCCATAAATCACCCTGAAATAGACTAGTGTAAATTCGAAATGCCACAAGAATCCAAATTACACTATAAATTCAAAACTATAATAAAAAATTAGTAAAAATTAGTAAAAAATCAAGTTCATTTTAAATATACCGTACATATCCATCGTAGCTAAACGATTGAAGCATAACAACAAAATGAATGGAACAACAAAGAATTTATTCAAATTATATCGACGAATTTTTTTAAGTTCTCAAATACGGCTTCTCTAGAAAATTTATTCCAAACTCTCACTGCTCTACTATCGCCAATATTGGCGAGATCTGAGTTTCTTTCAATGATAAATTAAGAAACAAACCAGGAACTATGTTAAAAAGATCAAAAAAATTTCATTAAACTTATAGGTCATACCAAAACTTAACTCTTTCGATAGCCAGCGTTTGCAGCTTTATCACTTTCTTTGTAAAACAAACCTTTAGTCATAGAAATTCATATAATAGCTTAAATAGCTCTGAGAATTTCTGATGATACACCTTATTCTATTATAGGTTTTAATGCTTAAAACAATTACAATTAAATGCTTAAAACAATTTGCTGGAATTTAGCAATAAATCTAGGCATTGGTTTCGAAATAACGAAGTAACAATTTGTTATCAATACGAATTCTAAAATACAATCTATTTCTTCAACAGCGTTCCCACAAAGATAATTTAAGAAGGATAAAAACTAGCTTTTATTGATATATAGGCTGAAAGAATCATTTGGGAAAAAATCGCAGTTACATTTTGGTTGTGCAATTCGACATATGATCCTCTTCCTTCAGATTTAAGGAATCACAAATTAATAAAATTTAAAATTATCGGGATACAGTGATGCTATTTTTAAAATGTTATGCCACTGATATACACCAAAAATAACAATGAATCTATACACACCTATTTTGTAATAGGAGTAATAATAATTTGGTGTTCTTTAAGTTTGATTCATAGCCAGTTATAAAAAAATTTTCGACCATCATTTATTAAAATTTTTAATAATCTAAAATAGCAGAAAAACAAAAATTACCAAAAGGAAGATCTGAGGAGCGATAACATTGCCAACGCGATTGAATGTCTGCACAAAGCCCATACCAACATTACGAATAGCAGTAGGAAATAGTTCCGATGGAGCAATAGCATTCAAAATGTATATCTGACTTCCCATTGCTGATACTGATAACGCCGTAATTCGGATAACCGATTTCAAATCTAAGTCTGAAAAGAAAAAATATTAAAAATAATTAGTTAGAAAAAAAAAGATGAAGTTTTTTCTACTGCTAGAAAATTTATGCACATACAAAAAAAATTTCGAAACTTATGTTTCGTACTTCCTATCTTTATTCTTTTCGAAGTTTTTTCCTTTCATTATTTAATGGATTTTTATTACTTGTGGACATTTTTGTTTTTAAAAGTTTTCTCATAAGCGTTTCCCTTAATGAGTATTTGATTTAAAGAATTATGACTAATTTACCGAAAAGTATAATTACGAAGACGATTATTAATCCCAAAGCCATAAAAGACATTGCAAAACCATGCAACAGTCGTCGACCGGCCCACATAAATCGAATATCAATCAAAGCAACAATAATGTTAATTCCATAACGCATTGATCCAATAATAATCGTATTAAGAAATGGTGATCCAGCAAGCTTCTCAAAGTTGAACATTAAACCATAGGAAATAACGCTTGTGGTGACCCTGTGAAAGAATATGTTGATAACAATATTCATTGACATATTCACGGAAAATTGCAAAATGAGAAAAACTTGCAAAATTTATTACGAAACTAGTTAATCGATGATAAAAAAAAAGCTATAAGTCTATATCATGTCAAATTAAATTTAAACTTTAGAATCAATTCCAAAATTTTAAAAAAAGTTTAATTTAGAAATTCTAAAACATCATAGAGTTGCTCCAAACATTTCCAGAAAACATACAAACTATAGGAGAAAAATATAGCATATGCAGCGAATTGTCGATACTGGAACAAATGGTATGTGTAGTACTTTTTTTTAGGATGACCAGCATTCTGAAAAAAATTTTAAATAAATGGTCAACAAGTAGATTCGAAATTGCGAAATTAAACTCAAATACTAATAGAAACTTTTCAAAACTTAAAAGACTAATAGTAGCTAACTTGTCGAATATGTTCACGTTCTTTATCCAGAACTGCATCTACTTCGGCAAGTCGTTCCGGAGTATTGGTGCCATCCCATTTGCCAATTGTTATTAATGCTTCGCGTGCTTCATCAATCTTTTCTTTCAAAACGAGCCATCGAGGTGTTTCTTGAATGAATCTTAAGAAATTTCAATTTTGACTTTTTCAACATTTTTCATAAATTTTTTTCATAAAAAAACAAAAAGAAAGAAAGTGGCATTTTTCAAAATTTTTTACATTAGCATAATAAGCGGAATGATGGTGATTGCTGCAACGACTCTTGAGAGAATTCTCCAATCGCCTGTGATATAAGCCAATGCCGTAAAAACAATATAATTTGGCGAATAAGTTATCACTGTGACTATCCACATTCTATGCTTTGTTGGTAACGTTTCCATCATGAAGACATAAGAAACACTGAAAATTAAATAATTTTCCAACAAATAATTTCAACAAAAAATTATTTTACTTTGCATATGCATCAAATCTAGAAAAAAATATTCTTCAAAAAAATTGATTAACCTATGTTTTCCACCAGTGAAAAACATGACAAAAAATCGTGCAATCGTGAAAAATACTATACCATTAGCGAAAGTCGATATCGTTCCGCTAATAATCAAACCAACCGTTCCAAACATAAGAGTCTATAAATAGTATGATGCTAATTTTATTCAATATTTATCTAATTAAAAATTCTTCAGTTAATTTCCGCTTTATAAAAAATAAAATTGGGAAATAGAAACAACAGAAAAAAAGTGGTTTCAGCCAATTTTATCGAAGTCCATGTCTTAAAAGCATTTTAGCGAACTATTATTAATAAGAAATATAAAGAATTACATATATACATTTATTTATTTACTTGATAAGATAAAAAGTATATTCAGTATTAATTTTTATAAAAAAATTAGAAATCATATTAAAAATTATAAATTATAAAGAAATTTTAAATAAAACGATTAGAACAAATCAATTAATCATGATAAAGCTTAAAATACAGAAAATAAATAAAATATAATCGAATAAAATCGAACTGAAAAAAAGAAAAAAACCTTTCGTCTTCCAAAAGTATCCGAAAGTTGACCGAAAATCATTGCTCCAAACATTATACCAATCATTTGAAGTGAAGTACTCATTTTAACTGTACGTGCATCACTGCATACATATCCAAACTAAATATTTAATATAATGCAATTTTGATATGAAATTAAAAAATTAAAAGTTTGAGCCAAAATTAAAAATTTAATTCAATTAAAATAGAATTAAAAGTTCAAATTTTTTAAAATGCTTTAAATCTTAATTTTAAAAAAGTGAATTAATGAAAAAAACAATAAAAATTACAAAAAATAAAACTTGAACCTCGTAATTAACAGAATGAAAAACGCCATCATATTTACAAGTGCTGCTATTTTTATGAATTTCGTATTTCGAACATCGTTCTTCATTTGTCATATTACGAAAATCTTCATTTTCACAACTAACAACATCAGCAACTGCTCCTTGAATTTAAAATTATTTTAACATCTCGAAATTTATCAAACTGTTTATTTTCGTATTACAGTATTGAAAAATATTGATTTCCACAAAAATATTTCTATTTCTACAGCGGTGCAAACTAGTCATAAATTATGGATCAATGATGGACGCAGTTGTTAATTAAACGTCTTTAGATTCTGCAGCTTCAACCACCAAAAATCAGTAATCACATTTTATGCATTATTATTCGAAGAAGCAGTCCACAGGGTCCAAGAAAGAATCCATACGCTTCATTATATTGCTAAAGAAATAAAAATATTACCTAACGAATATCCAGAAGAAATGGAGGTTTTCGGATTTCACCGCTATATAAATAAAAGGTATAACTTTGTGATAAAAGAATAATTAAAGTATCAATGCCATTTAAAAAAATATATATTCGTCTCATTGCTATCCCATATTGTATTATTTTTATTGCTTCTAATTTTAGCAAAGACTTAGCTGCTGTGTTCGTCAAAATTTTTAAATAATTATTAAAATTAAAATCACTAATTTATCATAATTTCTAAAATAATAACACAAAATTGTAAGAAAACACCACTGTAAACTGTTGAATGAACTTTATTTCTTTTATTATTAAAGCACCAAAAAAGAAATATTTCGAAGAATTTAAATTTTCCATTCTTAAATTTCAATTTGCCTTTAAAATATTACAATAATGAAAAACAATAAAAAAATAGAAACAAACCTCCAAAAATCATGTAAATCAAATTGCTGACTTGCGATATAATTAATATTTCGTATGTTATACATACAAATAATGTATACCAACCAAGTTCGTTAAAATCACCAACCGTCTTCTTTTCATTCTTTCCTTCGCCACTCATTTCTTTTTTTTTGCGATTTTTGACGGTTATTTTGACTGAAATTTTAGAGAACGATGAGAATGAACCAAGAAATAAACGAATAAATCCAACGGTAAATGAATCGAATCGACATGCATGCAAGTTCGCGTGCACTCCAAGCAGGAAATGCAATAAAATTTATCTAATTTGATCGCATATTTTACTGAATAATTAATTATTTCCAGATTTTTGCAAACTAAAAAATCCTCTTTTAATTATATTTTAATGATAATAATATTTATAAATATTGATGTTTGATTTGTTTATATTAAAATTTACATTAAATAAATTTGTCAATCAATCATATAAAACATTGTAAAAACACATTTTATAGCAAATAAATAAAATTTCTAAAAAAAAAGATTAGTTAAAATTAAAAAGTCATGAAAATAATAAAAATTAATAAAGTAAACAATATAAATAAGTAAACAATTTAATTAGAATATAAAATAAATGTAAGCGAACGCGAAATTCGCTAAAAGCAAATAATATTTTTGGCAACATTCTCGCGAGAATAAAAATAATAACAGCAGAGACGCTTAACCGCATGAAAAGTAGAGAATGAGTTTTCTGATTAAAAGTGAAATCTGAGGAGTGTTTCGGTAAAATTTCGACTCCCTCTCTCCGGAGAACCATCGAAATGCCTCAACTCCACCAATCAGTGGAGTAAGGCAAACCAGAAATGACTTCCTTGCTATCGCTGTTCGACAATAAAAAAGCACTAATAACAAGAGGCAAAAGAAATAGTTGAAAGTGCCAGCAAATCGACTTTACAAATCACATCGTTCGATTTTTAAAATAACATATTAAAAATGAGGATAACTTTGGGAATAACGAACGTGGCAATAATCAATTTGCAGAGGTGTCGCTGTCGCTGTTTATGCTTGCTTATACTGACAGAATGGCTCACGCTTGCGCATTATTGTCTTCATGATTGTAAGAGCATATTTACTTGTTCATATTGTTCATATTGGCTCATAGTGGCTCTCGTGCTTGCTCATATTGGCTCATAGCGGCTCATGTTTGCTCACATTGGCTCATAGTGGTTCATGTTTGCTTACATTGGTTCATAGTGGCTCTCGTGCTTGCTCACATTGGCTCATAGTGGCACGTGCTTGTTCATATTGGCTCATAGTGGCTCGCATATTGGCTCATAGTGGCTCGCATATTGGCTCATAGTGGCTCGCATATTGGCTCATAGTGGTTCATGTTTGCTCACATTGGCTCATAGTGGCTCGCATATTGGCTCATAGCGGCTCATGTTTGCTCACATTGGCTCATAGTGGCTCGCATATTGGCTCATAGTGGCTCGCATATTGGCTCATAGCGGCTCATGTTTGCTAACATTGGCTCATAGTGGCTCGCATATTGGCTCATAGTGGTTCATGTTTGCTCACATTGGCTCATAGTGGCTCGTGCTTCCTCATATTGATTTGCTTGCACGACAATTGTTTTGATTTATATTTAGAAAAAATTTATATTTATAATTTGTCTTGTACAAAAAAAGAAGAAATAAAAGAAATAAAAATGGGAAACAAATGGGAGGAAAGGAAATGAGAGAGAGAGGAAACAACCAAATAACAAAAAAGCAACCATTTGCAAAAATATTAAAGAAAATGAGACGTGAAGAAATGCAGACGTTTTAGAGATGGAAAATGAAGGCAGCTGGCGTTTTGCAGATAATAAATTACCTACCGGCAAATTACAAAAATAATATAAAACAAGAAAAGGGGAAAAGATGACAAGAAGAGGAAGAAAAGGAAAAATAGGAATGAAGGAGGAAAAGGTGTTTTTGGGGAAGTAGGGAGGAGAAGAGAGGAAAGAAGGAGTCAAATATAGAACCACCGATCCTCTTTTCAGCCCAATCAACCGTGTCAGGATCGCTTCGAACCAAAACAAACCGCTCTAGGCACGCGAATACCGATAAAATGACATCATTGTAAAGCATCGTTATATGCTAGATGGACATAGAATATTCGATAATTCTCTTTCCCTCCTCTTCCTTTCCTCCTTCACTCCCCTTTTCCCTTCTTATCCTCTTCCTATGCTTTCCTCGTCCTTTCCTTTACCACTTTTTCCATTTTTCCCTCTTCCTACTGTTTTCTCCTTCCCCCTTTTCTATTTCCTTCTTTTTTCTTTCCATTTTCCTTTTACATTTCACCTTTATTTTCTCATTATTACTATTATTTTTGCTACCTTAACTGACAATAAAAATAGAATTGGTGATGCAGATCGTTGAAAAATAATGAAAATGGAAAATTCAAAAATTTCTTTAAGGAAAAAATGCTAGAAAAAAATATTTTTCAAATTAATGCATTCGTCCAAATAGTCAGTCGCTTGGAGAAACAGCAATCGGCCAACCGTTCACTGCGATAGAAAAAATATTGGTCCATCCGTCACCACAATGGAATTCCAGATGGATCCAATCGTTCGCGCTAACAGAATTACCGATGGATCCAACCGTTCGCTCTAACAGAATTATACGTTTCGATGAAATGAATAATGAAGATTTTCTATTAATAAATACTTTAAGTGTAATGAATTTATTAAACTATATAGAAAATATTTTTATATTTTTTTATAAATATTTGTAAAATTTTCAAAACGATTTTTATTTCTCAAATAATTTTAAATAAAAAATAAATAAAAAATCGAAATTCTTAAATTATTTGCCAATTTATTTGATTATAATTTTTTTAACAATATTTAATTATGTATAATAATAAGCACAATTGTTCTATTGATTCTTTTCTATTGATAAGATTTCTTTTGGCTGATTACCATACTTTCTATAATCCATTGTGACCTTTTTGCATCTGTCACTGATAAATGATAATCTCTGTGGGCAATAATAATAATAATAATTATAATAAGGATCGACGCAAACAAAATGAACAATAGTAATAAACAATGATCATAATGGTAACAACCACAATTGTAATAAATAATAATTAATAAAAATAATAAATAAATATAAAATAATGACAACTATTAACAGCAGTAATGATAATAATATTATTTGATAGCAATAGCACCATTTAATAATAATAACAATAATAATAATATAATATTAGCAATGATAACAATATCAGAAAAAATTATAATAATGATAGCCTTAACAAATAAATAGCAATACAAATAAAATAATATTAACAACGGTTAAAATGAAAATAAATAAGAAAGATAAAGGAAAAAGTGATAGCAAAAAGAAAGTGATAATAGACGAACAATTTTAAAAGAATCTCATGGATTAGATTTTGTGAAATTTCATAAAATCGTAATAAAATATGGATAAATTTGCAAGAAAGGAAATATATAAAGCGAGGAATATACAAATATAGATTAAACAAACAAGAGAGATAAGGGGGAAGTATTGTTATAAGTGACCTGTGAATATAAAACGAGTTTATCGACAGGTAAAAATGATCGATTGAAGAGATGCGGCTTAATGCTAATTATTATGGATTTGTGGATCAAGATGAGGTCGCTGGTGCCGTTTGAGACCGTTTATGCACTATAAACGCTAAAAAATTAAGTATTATCACCTCTATTTCCCTCTAATAAAGTAAAGTCGATCAGTCTCCTCCAGCGACGATCTATCAAATCCCTCGCCTTTATTACAAAAATTATACATTAAAACAATATCTTCTAGCAAAAATCAAGAGACATATAATAATTATTGGTAGCATGCACAAAAGCATGAGCATTCGCCAGTGCTGGTTAGGCTTACTCTACTGTTGCCAGTACTTCGCAAAAGAATCAGTTGCTCCGAGATAGATATTTCTTCAGTAATATTCTTCAGACAACGACAACAACCATTCGGCTGCCTTCTCTCCATGCAGCTGCAGTGAGAAAATACGATTCAGTGGTACTTCTTCTCTGAACTTTATAGGCCTTTTATCTTTGTGTTTTAATTTTTTTCTTATTTTCTAACAAATTTTATGAAAAAAAAGCCAACAATGGAAGCAATGAATTAATGAATTGATGATCAGTGCAATAATAAAATAAGAAACGATTCATTTTTCGCATTTAAAACTTTACCAAACTATTATTTTTATTTTTTAGAAAAGTTAAAATAAATTACGCTGAAGCAAAAATTTTTAATTTATGTAAAAATCTTTTCGAATTTTCTTTTTTTAAAATATTTTTAATTTTCTTTAAATATTTTGCATTTTTATATTTTTTCTGATAGAAAATTCGAAAATTTGATTTATTCAAATATGAATTTATTCAAATTTTATCACCTAAATTATTTTTTATTTTTACAGAAGTAAATTAAATTTTGTTCGAATTTTATGAATGAAATGGTTAAATAATAAATAAATTACGAATATGATTTATAGAAATACAAAATTTGTTAATTACCCGTTAAAAGCGATTAACGCAAATTTTTTGCGCAAATAAATATTATTAATCGCTAATTAAATATTTATCAGATTTTATCAGATTTAATAATATTTAGTAGTGATCATTTCATTTTATTACTTTCGCTATCTGCGAGTGCGGCCAAAAATCTTTTTTCCTGGTGGGGAAATCTGTCATCAAAACGAAATTCGAGAGATAATGAATGGGCTGCCCAACTGTATTCCCATCTCTAAGTGACCCACTGGCCAATGCTTCTCAAGTCAGAGTGGCTAACCAAATTAGGAATGGAAATTATTACTTGAAGAAAAAAAGTTGAATATTACATTATATTTATTCTTTAAGAATACAACATTTAAGAAAGCGAATTTTTCTAGCAAAATTAAAAAATGAACTAAAAAATTAGTTCGCCAATCTCGGAAATATTTTTTAAATTATTTATAATCAGTAATAAGATAACAATAATCAATATAGCACTTTATAAATCTGAGAAACATATTGCTTGGACAGTTTAACCTAATGACTGCAAAATTGCTTCGACAAGAAATTTTATTAATTTCTAATATTAACCAAATTGCAGGTTGTAAAGCCAAGGCTCTGCTAAATTCACTCAGTTACATTGCAAAAAACGAATGTTTCTTGCATGTTTTATCAAAGCCATCACCCATGCAATAATTTTAAAAGTAAAGCGATCAGATTGATGCTTCCAGAGATTCCTGCAGCGGTTCCAAAACAGGCGTGAACCTAGAATCAGAGTTCGTTCTGGAAAAAATTTTTCGCTCCTTGTCTTCATTGCCCTGAAAATTCACTCTTATAACTAATTGAAGTACGAATATATGTTTATATTAACACTTATATTTTTCATAAAACACTTTGTCTTTGCATTTATATTTTTTTCTAAATTTTTTGGTACATTTGAATAAAAATAAATTACTTGAAGGAATGAAGGCATCGTATTAGGCAAATAGACATCAGGCAATAATTTACTTGCTTGTGACAGATCGCGCACAAGATGTACGGATGGGGGTGAACGCTTCACAGCCTGAAAACAAAAAAAATTAAATTGACTGAAAATTTCTAAAAGCGAGAATTTAAATAGGGAGGGAAGAATCTGGAGTAGACAAGTGATAAATTGCTTTACATGGATCCTATTCTCACCCCTTGGCAAGAAAAAGAATGAGTCATATCGATCATTAGAAGTGAATTTGTGGCGATGGTACGACTCTATTTAACCATTTATGCATCTATTCATATGCCGACGAAAAATTTTTATCCTCGTAGTGGCTAGTGGATCAAATAAATTGGAAGAAGAATTATGAAACAGCTATTTGACTGTGCTCAGCAAAAGATATAGTTTAAGATAAAATTATATGTTCGTTGTGTAGGGAAAAATTTTGAAATTCTTGAAAATTTTCACAAATTTTAAAATATTAAAATATCAAGCCTTTTCAAAAGTTATCAACTGTTTCCAAAATCCTATATTTGGTTGCACTATAGGATGCTTTCTGCTCATCAAGCAATATGCATCACGTAATGTTCTGCATCTATGCTTAGTTAAAAAAGCGAGACCAATAGTTGGTGAACGAGAAGTACCGCAAACGCAATGGACTAAAACTTTGCCGCCATCGTGGATAATTGCTTCGATTTGATCACTAAGTAATTCGAGATGCGGATAGATATAAGTTTGCGGAGTATTTTCTAACCATAATTTGGTTCTTTCGATATTTCCAAGTGCTTTTAAATTTGGCACCTATAAAAACATTATGATTTAGAATTGGTAAAATTGTTATTATTATTAAATTATTAAAATTATTGTGATAAAATTATTTTTTTAAGTTTTATGCAATTATTGTTTTTCACTTGAGACATTGGATCACTGCATAAAAATATTTCTAGTACAAATTACTTCATGGACTTTACTTTTGTTAGAAGCGAAGAGGGGTCAAGATATGATATGATAATATGATATCTAGGATTTAGGATTTGTTGAACTGAGTAACAATCATTTGATTTCACTTATTTTAAAAGAATTAAGGAATTAAGGTAGGTATTTGGCATTCACTGTTAAATTATACCTCACTTGTGGCATTAATAATATGTGTGATTCCTTTTTCGTGAATTTTTGTTGTTCGCAAACCGCTTATACCAGAAATAAATAAACCATCAACGATTTCCGACATTTGTGCATATACTGGATTGACACGAAATGATAATCTCGTTGGATAAACTCTTTTTCGGATTAGATTAAGAATAGTGGATCGTTTTGATGATGAAGCTTTCTAAACGTGATTTCCGTTTGATTAACCACAAAAATTAAAAAAAGTAAGTGATTAGTGCTCATCATTTTCGATTCGGCGTTCCACTGATTTCCACTGATTACTTGAATAGAAATTCTTGCCAGAGTAATTTAGCAATAGAGATGCAAGCACTCCCGAGTCACCCGAATCTTTTTAATGATAGATTTGACGATTCACTTCAGTAGAAAGTCAGTAGAAAGAGCAGAACCAGAAGAGTAAGCATTTTTTATTCGTTTTATTTGGAACATAAATTTGCCATAAAAAAAAGGAGAATTAAATTTAAAAACCTTAGCTTTTTATAATCGACAATCACTATTTAAAATTGTTTGTTCATGCTTCCTTTTTATTTTGATATATTAAGTTATTCGAAAAATTCAGATCATTTTTTTTATCGCCTGAGCTTGTAATCATGTATTTTTATTGTTGTGCCACATTGGCTAAAGTATCTTATATGCTCGCCTCTGATCGCCATGATTTTCTGTTTTCTTTCGTTGCAGAAATGTTAGATGATTTAGTTTTTAGGAGAAATTTTGATGCCGAAAATCCCGAAAATCCTGTCTGGAGATATAATATAGCCTTCGAAATTGCCCCAAGCCCTTAAGTTTTATAAAGATAACTGGAGGCTGATCATATTGTGAAGATTCAAGGCAAGGGATTTAGGGTATCACCTCGTACCATGTGGGATTATGTGTATATGAGAGAAGGAAGAACTTAACAAATGAATATCCCATGAAGCGACTGAGTTCGTGGCAGGGAAGCAATTCTTTTCGTGGATGAATTTTTATCTAAACTGATATTGTACGACAACATGAAAGGTCCGATGCATTGACTAGTCAATGATAAAGCCAATGATAAAGTCAAAACCCACTTGAAGGATGCTATGCTCACTTTTGGTTAGTCTGGATTGATCCACCATAGTTTCTCAAGCCTTACAATAAAGAATTAATCCATCAGAAACTATAAATAAAGCGCTAATGAACGAAAGACCCCATTCTTGATAATAACTGCACATCGAAAAAATCACTTGTAAAAATTTTTGAATTGAGGTAGTCCTTCCCAACCCATTATATTTCCCAGACCTTTCGTCATATTTCTTCCTTTCTCTTGATAATATCCTCAGAGAGAACTATAGGAATGCCCATCTTCTAGAAATTCATTGGTTCCAGAATCTCTTATGCAAATAGAACAGATGAATGTATGATATTGGCGAATACGTTAATTTTAACCATAATTTCTTGGAATAAAAAATTATTTTTCAGGAAAAGTGTGGTAAAAATATACGGCACAAAACGGCCTAAGTTTTTTGAATAACCTAATATTATTAAGTGGAACGAAAAAGTTCCTCTCTTTTACGTACAAAATTAATATTTCGTATGGATCGTTATATTTTCTTTGTTTTAAAAGATATTCACAGTAAGAAGAGTTATACTTATGGTTCAGCTGCATCCACGATGACTCAAGCGAGTAAATTGATATTCAACTTGATATTAAAAGCATTGTGACTTCTCATCAAAGTAGATTCCAAAAGTCACAATAATCATCAAAAAGAAAGAAGAACGAATCTTTAACCATCTTGGTTCAGGGATTTAATAATTTATGGTTAGCTTGGTGATATGTCTCGCATATAGTTTCTATAATATATTCAGTCAGGTGATAGTAGAATTAAAAATACGAGAATTAAAAATATTGCGATTTTCCAAAGATATAAGACTTATAAAATTTTACATAGTTATCAAATTAGATTGTTCAAAATATTAAATTTTAGGTTGAATTCGAATCCGGCAAAGTATAATAGGCTAAAATTACTAAACCCATACGCAAAACTAAATTAAGGACTCATCATTTCTTTATTCGTACTATTAATTACTGGAATAAACTACCGAACGACATAGTTTGTGCGTCATCTTTAGCTATCTTTAAAAAAAGATTAGATAATATCGTTTATGATATTATTTAAAAAGTTAGCATCATGCTGGAAGTGTGAAATCGCGATTTTTACCACTCAATTATTTGTAAGTAATATTTCGAGTTGTACTATTTTATAACTTCTCTTTATTTCCTCATTACTTTCAATAAATAATAAATATATCGATTACCATTCGGCCTAGCCGAAATATCGCGAATCCCAAATTCGCGATTTGCAAACGCAGTGCATTATTTACGACGTATTATCTTTAAGATCAATATAATTCCAATTAATTTTTTAATGATAGCTCGTACCATTATTGGTTAGGCTGACTGTGTTGTTACAAGGATAATGGGTTTCCACTATAATTAGAATTGTGTAAAACCTTACCTTTAAAAGGATTTCTGATTCTTCATCGGCAGATATGGTAACCTTTTCTGTTTCAGAAGTAAAATTGCTTATCATATTGTCTTTGCTAAAATGAAATTTGTTAAAAAACTGCAATTTCATTTTTCGTCTTATCAAACTTCCATCTAATTTAAAAACTGGCCATGTTTTGTGAAATATTTAAAAAACAGAAAAATGTAGTCAGTCATCTGTAGTCATTTTTGTGCTACTAAAGCAGTATTCCCTCAACATCCTCAAAATCTCCAATTTTCCTTATCTTAGATTAAAGTAAATTTCTTAGTATAGCGCAATAATATTATTAGAAACCCATAAACCTTACAACTGCCTCATTTTACTACTTTTTTTTAAAAATCTGTTCTGCAGTTATTCTACTTCTATTTCTTATTTAGAAATAGAGCAGTCAAAAGAAAAAATTTTTCGTGAATTTGAAAAATTTATAGAGATTTCCTCAGAAAATTCCAATTAATTTGCAAATTTATGAACAATTATTTTATAAAAATGATTTGCAGCATTTTCTAATATTTTCAATTTAATTATCGCCATCTTTTGGTTGCCCCGATTCGCTTATAACCGCCTCGATTGTTTTTTTTCTATCAGCAAATTACATCGTTAGGTTGGTGCAGAAGAAATCGTTTTATCTCTTAGCAACCATATAATTCTCTCAATGAAATGATGCTAATGAATTTTTCCTTCAAAAGATTTTCTGCAAAAGTAACGAAGGGTCAAGTTTTTTCGCATCCAGAAATCTTTACTGCAATGAAACTTTCCGGATCCCACAAAAGATTAGATCAGAGGTCGCTATCCAGAAGAGCGCACTGGAACTAAATATCGTGCGGAACCTTCAATCTTCCAAGCATCTGGTAGAGGTTCTGAAGTTGAGGACAATCCTTGTCAGCCGGCAGGGATGAGAAAGAGATTTTTATTATATAAACTATGGCCTTACGGTTTTTGCTTTGAATAGGATTAGTTCTTCTCAGATGATTCGCGGTTTAGCAATTGCGCCTATTTTTCCGCGCATTTCTAAAAAATAATCTAAAAAAGCAAATTTCGAAAAATTTTTCAGTTTTATTCGTCAAAAAAAAAGAATTATGCAATCGTTGTAACTTCGTTAAATTGATTAATCTGATTACGCATCGCATCATTTTTGATTATTTTATTTCCAATTATGCTTTGATTATCATGTTTTAACTCATTCATAATTCATAAAACATCGTGTTGTCATGGCGAAGAAATTTATTGATAAATTCACTGGAGTAGAGTGGATAATTTCTCGGGGATATTAATTAAAAATCTTGAAAAATCTTCGAGAAACCCTTGTGAGTCGAGCCGAGAATTCTATTCTGCGCTTCGTTTTCTAACACTATTGCTCACTGGTAGGCTAAAAGAGTCTGTCGAATGCCATATCTGCAGGCAATAGCAAAGTAGAAGTCACTTTTTCTTTTTCATCGCCAAAGCCTACCGCTTTACCGCACATGTTTTTGAAATCTCCTAGTGAGAGGAGATTTATTCACATTTTCAATGCAGGATTTTGGTCGCGATTACTCGCTTTGGATGCAATCCATAACAGTGCTTGCGATGTGGCGAACTCCAGTTAAAGCAAATGCGTTAGGAGAAGGAAATACTCCAACGTCACTTTGTAATAGCGATGGCACTAATGGAAATGGCCAACTTCAATGCGTGCAGTCGTGTGATCCATTTGAGGTTCGATTTCCTGCAGGAGTTAACCTGTAAAAAAATCCGAGTGATGCTGGCGACTCACCTGTATTTCTATCTGTATAGATATATATTTTATTTTTTTCTCTCCCCTGCGAAACCGCAGATGAATTGTCGAATTTATAATTTTTTAAAATTTCCCTTGGGAGTGGAATCAACCGAAATCGTTTAATTATTTGTTTTTAAATACGCTTATTTTATCAAATTTTATTAAATTTTATCAAATATTAAATTTTATTTATGAATAATTTATTTAAAAAATTATGCTTTCCTTTAATTCGATTTTTGTGCCAAAAATGTAACTCGATTCCGATGAAAGTTCACCATCAAAGCCAATGTAAACTCCATGTATTCAGGAATTCTGGAACACCAGCAAGGTGGTGGTACCAAATGATGGAACGCTAAGAGAATACCTGAAGCATCAATAGACATTGGAAGAAGACCAAACAGAGAAAGGACCATAACAAAATTTTCCATGGGTGCATCATCGACAGATAACTGAGGGAAAAAGCTGGACTAAACAATATTGATCATGACAGCACAAAAACAGATAAGCACAAATAGATCCATCGAAGCAGGAATCTACCACATCAGGCAAGGCCAAGGAGCAACACATATTGGCGGAATGTAAGATGTAGCCAAGAATAGCATACAATGAAGATAATCAAATAGATATCAAATAGCATTCAATTCAGATAACTTCACTTCGCTCGATCTTGCTATATGGCTGCGAAACATGGCCAATGAAAGTGGAATATATTAAGAAGCTATGAACCTTTGACCACTTATGTCTAAGACATTTTACGTCGAGCGGACAAAATCGCACTTGATTGTATGATTGAATCCATCTTCACTCAAATACCAGCTGTATTAATAATGTTATCATAGAGCGTCGGCTTCGGTGGTTAGGGTACTTCGTCATCCACCACAGCAGTTGACGCATATTTCACTACCGAGGTGAACCAATCAAGACCTGGACTGACGCAGACAGGAAAGATTTTGAGCGTACAGGGGATATATGGACTTTGACGATGGAAAAAAGAATGGCTTCTATTACTCTAGCGATGGTGCAGTACCGAGCGGCTTGGAGATGTCTTACCCCTGTAGCCAGCCTAATCGTAATGGTGAGAGCTATTAGAAGAAAATGTCAAATAGATGTCAACAGAAATATCTATCCAATATATGGTTTAAACCCCCTAAGATCAGATGGGAGATTCCTCAGGAAATCGTGGAGTAATTCAAGTTATTTTAGTCGAAAGAATCTCATCTTGGTAATCAATAGAACCAGCCAAACCAAAATCGAACAGTGAATATAAACAGAAAATGAATATATCAAAATATCATTTTTGATGTCACCAAATTTCTTATTGCTGAGAGCTATTTTTGTCAAAGAAATCGGAGAGGAGAGGAGAAGGAGAGGAATGATTGAAATTCTTTAAACTTCATTGTATTTTATTTCCGCAAAATTATTTATTCTAAAAGATATATTTGCTTCCATTAGTTATTGCGCTAAGCTAAAATCTCGCAAGATTTCGAGGGATAATCGTGAAAATCTTTTCCCTCAGCCATTAAAATAAATATCAGAAAACATAAAACTAGTTACTCACATATAATAAATAATGAAACGATTGAAAAGAAGTGAAAATTTTATGTTTATCCGAAGTTATGCAACGCATCGCAAACATTTGGTGGTGAAAATTTTAATGCTCTTATCGGATTTTATAAAAATAATACAAAGAGAGAGGAAACGAAATTATTTAATAGTGAAATGGGATTTAAATCATTTTTAAACATTATTTAAACATTATATTATTTACTTATGTGAATGAGTTACAGCGGAATTGTGCTGAACAGAGATTCCGTGAAATAAGTAATTAAGAAAAACTCTTCTTTAATTATCGTTTTGTATCGCTGAAAACTCGTGTCATTGCGAAGATTATCCAAATCCAACGCAGCACCCTTTTAAGTCATTTATGCTTCGATCTTATGTTTATCGCTATAGAAAATTCAGTCTAAGAATTCAGCATTTGGAGGAAGCTAAACCGCTCAGCTACAGATTCATTAAAATTAGGTGTTTTATTTTCGAAAGGCTGTTGTCGACTGCGATTGTTTCACTAGTTCCACTGTGGATCGTTCAATCTTCAGTTCAGAAGACAGTCGTAAGATTACAACTAGTTGAATAGACAAGAGAAAGTGGCATAGATGATTATCGTTTTCAACATTGGGCAACGAATAAATTTGATGAAAAGATCGAATATTCTCATCATTTTTAAAATTATTTAGGTTACAGCCAATACTATTTTAATACTATTTAGGCGATAAATTTAAAATTTTTTGAATGAGCTGAAAAACTGGCGAAAAATCTTTTAAGCAAATTATACAAATATTTATATTTGTCTACGCATAAAATGCCACTGATGATTTTTTAAAATAAATGCCAATTTTTGAATTTGCAGTATTTGTTTTTTAGTTTCTGCGGAATTTTTCCTTTCTCCCTCTATTAGAGGGTTCTTATTTGTTTGACTCGTATAACTACCAGTTTTATAAATATTAAAAGCAACCGTGGAATAAAAGAAGCGTATTAACATGGATAATAATAATAGTAACGATAATGATAATAATGATGACAATAATGATTAATACTAACATATAGTAAGGGTAATAATAATGAATAATTCAGCAAGCAAACCAGATGTATTTGACTATTCTATACAAACGATTTATTACTGAACTTATAAAATAAACGGCAAAATCAGTGGTTTAGTAAGTAAGCAATCTAAGTGCTCTACTTTTATTTATCTCTATTAATAAAGCTATTATTTTTATTTCTAATTTTATTATTTATTGTAATTTTACAAAATGAATTGAAAATTATAAAAAAATATTCCATTAAAAAAAATAAATAATTACTTAAAAAATTTAATATTTAAATATAAAGAGAAAATTCAAAAGATTAATATTATTACTAATACCATATGATGAAAGGAAAGAAAAAAGGTCTAAACATCGCTGAAGTAATAATGAAAATTATGCGACAAATTTTTAGTTTTTTTTGGCTGTTAGCAGTAATAAAATTTAATGATTATTGCCTTGAGGCAATTTTTTCTCTTCTAATAATTCACATCGTTATTGAACTCCACTGGCTATAAGGCTAAAGCCAATTTGTCTGTGCACATCAATTTTGTCGAACAGTCAAAATTTTGGAAATTTCTTAGAAAGCGATTATAAATAGGCGTTTTTCTAAAATTTTTTACTATATCTATTTTTATTTCTAAAGTTTTTCTGGTTTTAGCCTAAACCACTAAATTTTTGCAAAATATTACGATTAGGTGCTAAATTACTTGGTAACGTATTGTCACCTTTTTCAATAAAAATAATATTGTGATAAAAGTGAATGCCAAGAAGTTGCTTGGCTTTATCCATTGGTTTAAAAAGTGGGTTAGAAATTAATATTTCAGCGTAATTTTGTTGATCCGTTAAAGATTTGAAATAATTCATACTTGTCTTTGGATCGTTTAAGTTTTTACTCCCATTGAAGAATTCTAAGTACGATGTTTGCGTATCCTGAAATTGTATGAATTTATTTATAAATTTCTTTTATGATAATAATGATAATGCGATTTTTATAAGATTTCGAGACTTTATTTTATAGCCTTTTATAATGAATATAATGAATAAATGAATAAATGGCATATTAATAATATAATCAAGAAGAATTTTACTTTTACAACGTATATTCCATCAGATCGAAGACATTGCCAATTAATTTCAAACGATCTTATCACATCATAACTTATATGTGATGCATCATCAAAAATTATGTCAAAAGGTCCATAAAAGTCGCAAACTCTTGTTGCCATCGATTCATCGGATGCATTCATCTATAATTTGAAAAAAAATTGGTATATAAAAAATCATAGGATTTTGGTTGAATTTTCTATTAACACTAATGTGCTAGGATTGTACGACAGCTTTTCATAGAATTTCGGGGATTGCCAGAACAAATTAGCCGATCACACTTGCCTTTTAAACTGTTATGGCCTATTTCATTGGTAGTTTTATGATTACTTCTTTTTGTTTAGCTAGATTTTATCAAATGCACTTTTCCTTACAAAAAATTCACCTGAATAATCTTAACATTATCTGGCAGATCAAGTTGTTTTTCTGAAATATCCACACCAACGATAACTTTCGCATTAGGAAAAAATTGATGCCAAACTCGAAGTGAATTTCCGCCCTCAGTTTTTTTCGTGTATCCACCTACCTGAAAATTGACAAGAGAAAAAATTATTCATTTTCATAATTTTAAAGATTTTAGGTAAAAATTATCATTGATCAGTGAGTGACAAAAGTTGGTGATTATTGATTGGTGATGATAATAATGATTATTCCTAGTCAAAAACAATAGCTATTGAGAAATGATAAGCAAATTTTTATTCATTTGTGCGACAATTTGCAATATGAAAAAAAGTGGGTTTGTTAAATTGATGGGTGATGAACGAAAATTTAACCATCTCAAAAAATTTTATCGACATCTGAGAATAGTGACAGGAAAGTGTATTGTTTAGACCATCATGTCAAGTACCATGGCTCAATTCTTACTCCTTGCAGAAATAAAATTTATCACCAAAAATTCGACTAGTGCTTCGGAGCCAATTATTCTTCTATCCCAAAATCACTTTCTAAACAAAATATCATCTTCTAAAATCCCCTTAATGATAAGCGATAACGACTAACTAAGAACCAAAGATTTATACCTGAAATTAATCTCGAACATTGAAAAAATTAGAAATTTATGAAAATACCCCCATTTCGAGAATGGAAATTTGTCGATTGAATCGATATCGGCATAGAAATCTTGCAAATGGATGAAAATAATTATAATGTTGTTCGAGATCGGCGAATTCTAAGCTAAAAAATATAAAAAATTTTTTCTTAAGAAAATTGCCACATTCGAGTTAGTATTACATTGAAAACAAAAATATTTCCTCCACAAAAAACATCCTTGTAAAGCGTTGAAAATTGATGAACAAAGATGCATTCTACAGAGTTTGCACATTTTCTAAAGGTTTTCCATTACATGAAAGATGAAAAATCCATTATAAAAAATAAATAAATTTTTTAAAATTCTAGGAGGAAGTAATAATTCATTTTTTTTACACAGGGTAAATTCTTTTTCAGTAAATTAACCTTTCAGCCATCCGAAGCAAATCATTTCTGCAGATTTCGATTAGATTCAATGAATCCCAATCACGAGTCTCCAAATAGCGAGTTTTGTTATATCTGCTATTGTTGGCGATGATTATTATCAAAACAGTGGATATCGCCGCAAGCCAATACTTTTTATATTTATTTAAGTGAAACTGAATGAAATTCGCTATAATTTGTCGCATCAGAATTTCGCTATAAATTATTTCATTATCCTATCATATGGAAAAGTGCTGTACTATATTTGTTAAACAAACAGTACAAAAAAAAAATTTTAATTATATTGATTTATCAATTTTCGCAGATGAAAAACAAATGGGAACCTTATCACCGGAGGAAAATTTTCGTCCAATTTATAAAAAGAATTGGCTATAGTATAATCAGTGATTTTTTCAAGAAAATGTTAATGCATTATTGCATTATGATCAGATCTATGAATTTTAAGATTTTTTAAAATTATTCCCGAAAAATTTGAGATAATTTGAAGTAGGCAACCAAGGGAACGATAGGTTTACCTTCATGGCTCAGCAACATGTATGCCGTTAGAAGGAACAAAATGCCACTTCGCATTCTCCCTTCTACCATAAAAAAAAGTTTGCCACCCTCAAGTTTCAATAAAAATTTTGATTAAATGAAGAAAAAGGAATAATTTATATAGTTAAGGTATGCAAATGCAAAATTAATTTTTGCATCTCTGCCAAGCGATCAGATTATTCGCATCTCCAAAAATAGGTTAGGTTGAAGAGAATTCATTCGACAGATAATGATCAAAAAATCCCATTGAAATTGCTGCCTTGAACATTCAAAAACTTAAATACTAAATTAGACGATGCATATTACACCTATAGAAGGAAATCTCTCAGGATGGTCGAATTATGCATGCGTCGAAAATACAACTTTCGTGCACTTCTGAGTATTTTTTTGAAATCGAACCTGTGATTGAAATCGTAAGCTGCAAAATATGGATGCTATTTGGATAACAAGCGAACAGCCTAAAAATGCTCCACGTAAAGGAAGATCACCGATAACAAAGAACTAAGGGAAAGCACCAAATTAAATTCGCATCAAAAAATGGCATAACCTTTCATATTAAAAAAATGGCATAACCTTTCATATTAACAATCAACTTCTCCTATGGAAATTAAACAATTGGGTTCGACATGGACCAACTTCCAATAATAAATCCAAGCGGCCTATAACTTGTCGCTATTTCATGCTACTTTCAAGCAAATTCTGTGTTGAATAAATGCTATGAAAAATGGATAGTTTAATGGATGCATGTATTAACAACGAAATTTCTTATCGTTAATCGCCGTTCAGCGAATCAATCGGTAATGGATATATATAAAATTAAAGCTGAAGATTACCCATCAACAAAAAAAAATTTGTTTTGTGGCTTCGTAATTGAGTTCAGCTAATGGCCGTCAGTGTCGAATATTTTCTTGCCAGTGAACTTGATCTAGGTATGAAGGATTGGAGATATGCTGCTCTCAACAATTTCCACTTATTCATTGGAAATATCCTGATTCTCTACAATAAATTGCGAATGTCGAGCTCCATGGACTCGGCTGAATTATTATCCCTATTCCTCAGACACTGCGCCATTCAGCTACCATTTTTTCATGATGTTGAACAACTATCAGCGCATTACAAGTCGATAAGCTCTAGAAAATATATTCTTTATTTTTAAAAATTCAATTCTTCTGAAGCGACATTCCATCTCGTCGGGGAAAAATTATCGATTGTGCCAGTGTTTATTTCAATTTTGTCAATTTTTTTGCTAATTTCACCGTAAAAACCTAAGGAAAGTTTTTTGTTTGCTTCATAATTGCCCGTTTCTCTTTCATCTTCAAGTTTCATTTTGTGTGAAATTCTTTTTTAAAAAATTACGCATAGTTAGCTGAAATACTGGCAACAATTAACATTTCTAGCTGCGTCGAAATCTCACACCTCTTGTAAAATTTTATTCTTGCAACTTAACCTATCAATAGAAAAAATCGTCTCCTCCGCAAGTTTCTTAAAAAACTGAGTTCTGCCGCTCGCTTATATTATTTAGGCTCTTTTAGATTTTACTCCTCCATTAAGTTGTTTTCAAGCGACCAAAGCACTTTAAACTTTCTTCTTCATTTCCCTTATGAGACACTTTAATTTTTTCATATTCATTCTCCAGAATATTTGCGAAAAAAAAAACTCATTCTTTCATTAAGCAGAATTGTTTATTTTAGCTATTCGAATTATTTTTTATTATTATTTTTTTATTATTTTTTTATAAAATGTTTTTTGCTGAAACGAGTTAAAAATTGGCGACCGGCAAAGGTCGCTATTTGATTTTTATTGAATGAATTCTCCAAATATGTTCGCTAATTTATGCAACAATTAGCATAAATTTGATCGAAATTTTGTGCTAAATAACAACTGCATTCGTATTTGTTAAAATTTTTTGATTGCTTCAATTCTAGCTTAATCGTATTTATATGGAAAATTTTCGATAAAATTGCTTTTGGAAAATTTTATCAGCAAAATTATTTTATTTTTTAAATGTAGAAAATGTAAAAATAATTCAATTAAAAAGATTATTGGTTGTTTTCGAGAAAATATTTTATTCATTCAGAGAAGCCGAAAAAAATTTATGCGAATGACAAAATTAAAATGAGAATAAATTTAAGCAATAGCGATCATTTCTAAGAATACTCTATTTCCGGAAGAAAAAATTCTATGAGTTTTGCCCTTTTTTTTCACAAATAAATATATCTTTCGAATATGGAATATGTCAGAATTTTTTGTTTAATTTGGCATATACCAAATTATTTATGTCATTTGCTTCTTTAAGTTGTCATCGCTGTTGGCAAGTAATAAGTAGAGAAATTCAATCATATTTTGATGTATTAATAAAAGAAAAGTTTCGGCCGAGTTTTTGAGATTTCGCTTTCCTTATAATAAAATAAGTGGTTAACGCTCATTTTTGGCTAACTTCTACAGTTGATAATTTTTTCCAAAGAACTTTTTCCATTTGGCTAAGAATAAGATGGGTCACCAGTATCATGCGAAATCAAATATGTACCCATATTTTTGCAGCTAATTTATAAACTTAGCTGAAAATATAATCAGTGAATACCTATTAGATTTGCGTCTTAATCGAAGCATTAAAGATTTGTTGTTCTATAATAAACAATTAAGGTGATAAGGTGATAAAAGGTAAATTTGACCAAGGTGATAAGATGACAAAAGCTAAAAGCTAAATTTGCTTCTTTAAATAGCCATAGTTGCAGGCAACATAGATTTAAGCGTGCAATATGTACGTATGACTATACTTATTTTATTTTTTTTATTTTAGGAAAAAACAAAGTTTTTGATATTTTGTAGATAATTATTTCATAGATACATATCAATCTTAATCTGAATATAATATTGCAGCACTCACAAATTGCAGTCACAAGTGTGGAATTAGGAGGTAGAACGGCTCAATGGGTTGTTAATCCTATTTTAAAATGGCGGTGATGAAGTTCTATTCTGTGCGACAATCACTTTTTTAAAAATATGCTGGCGCGTCATTTGCATATCGCCAAGTGAACAAGTCCGTTGGCAAAACTGTATTCTTTATTAGAAGATATTTCATAGCTGAATGTTCTCCTTAATGGTGCTTTGAGTAAAAAAGAATTAGATAGAACTTTTGCAGCCTTTGTGCACGATAAATCTACATTTCACGGCACCAGTGAACTCTTACACACATTTTAATGATTGCAGTGTTTTGAAAATAGTTTCATCAGATGATCACTGTGGATTAAAGATGATATAGAAATTCCGAAATCTGTCTGTTCAAAAGTTAATTTAAAAATAGAAGTTAAATATAAATATATTTTCTTTGCACTCACTTCTTGGCTTTCATGTGCTATTTGTGCTATTCTGGAATAATCAATGCATTTTATATTTGTGGATAATTCAGACTTTTTTTTCGCCATAATTCGCCCTTTTTTATATAATTCTGCTTGAAGAAAATTTCTGACCGAATACCTTTTTCTTCTCACTCGAAATTCTTTGCAAAATTCTTGTTATGCTTAAAAAATTATCGACAATAATGATGTTGAATTCGTAGTATCCATTGACTTTTTCATTCTGCGATTTTATTTTCATTATTCATTGTTTTTATTATTGAATGCCGTTTTTCATGTTCTTTCTTTAGTTTTTCATAATGATTACTCAGTCAAGCGATGACAAGTGATAAGACCAATTGATAAACAACTTTTAGCATTTTCCGAATTTTCAATGTTAAAAAGATTTGTTACCTATAAGCAAAAAGAAGAAATGCATTGAAGAAATTTTATTAAAAATGATCGGTACGAGAGGACTGAAGGAAAGAAAACTTCTCAAGAATAGCTCAAAAACTCGAATGAATGAAAAGACGATTGAATCGTTGTGGAATAAACTTGAAACCAAATATAGCAAAATGTAAAATAGACGATAATAGAAGAAGTTAAGAATGCATGAAAAGTCGATGAATGACCGAAATTCCACGATTTTAGGCATAGAAAATAAGGCTAAAGAATTCATAAAGATAATGGGGTAATAGTAAAGAAAAGCAACAATATACGACACATGAGTGAAAGTGAAAGATTGGATGGAGACTGAGCGATAAAAATGTAAATGTAATAAATGGCCAGATGGGGATGAATGGATGTTCAAAAATTGAGAATCTTAGAATTGTTCAGAATAAGGAAAATTGTGAAGAATTGTGGAATTCAAAAATTTCCTTGTTTTAAAAGATGTAGGCTAACTAAAAATTTGCTAAAAGAATAAGAGAAAGAGTAAGAGAAAAGAGAAGGGAAATTATACACATTCATTGCGAGATGATAATTGTGCTTAAAATGTGGGCTTACAGCCAATAAAATATAAATATTGAGTGGCTAGGATCGAATCGAACCAAGGATTTAGGTGCATACATAAAAGGATACACACATAACGCATGAATAGATGATGAAGAATTATATGAATCGAAGAGATTCAGCAAGACATAAGGAAAGTAGTGTGTCGAGGCAATCGACAGCTGATGGGACGATGGACATCGAACGGCTTCAGCACCGTTGTCTCAGCTACCTCAAAGACGCACGCTTTTCAGACTTCGATATGTTTTCCTGACGAAAACTTTGCCGTTGGCAAAACTCGTCGTCATCCTTCAATCATAAATGTT